TTGGAAAATGGATACTGTGTGCAAGTAAACAACAAGTTAGCATCTTACCTGACCATATTAGAAGTTAGCAAGTAAGAAAGGATGGTAGTGCTGGACATAAAGACTATTAAGTGGTGTCAGAGCAAGAAGGGCAGTCTGACAGATATTCTGAGCGCAGAGAGAATGTGACAGATGTTCTGTCCAGACGAGAAAACCTATGTGAGGCAGCATTGTTGAACAAAAGATTTCACATGTTTTGCCAGCTCCTGGAGACTCCCAGCCTCCATCAGTTTCTCAGAAAAGGCCATCACCAGTTTTGCAAACTTTGAAAAGAAATATTTCTCCACAATCTTCCTATTATCTCATTAAGCTGGTGTATTCATAAAAGAACTCATCATTCCCAATGGCACGGAAAGCATTGGTGGTGATGTCAGACAGCAGAAATGTGCTTGATGAACTTTCTGCACTTATCAGTCTAGACTGATTCTAACTCAGTTAAACAGAATGGATTTTAATTATCCAAAAGACTCTAGCAAGATTATGCCAAGAAAATTAATGGATAGCCCAGAAAAATTGTGGTAAAAAAATTTTTGTAATTTCTGCTCTGCTGCAGATGGATAATGCAGGATACTTGATTTCTAGGATCAGTCTTGTTTAGAAATGGAGACTGCAAATGAACAAGTTGCTACAGACTTGTTATGTGAACACGTTCAGTGGGTAAACACAAAGGGTAACAAACTGTTCATAGAGAGTCTCTAGAACTGATATAATTTTTATCTCTAAGACTTACATGCAGAACTGCATAAGTTGTGATGCAAATGTATTTTTGTTGTGATGAAGAAAGACCTATTATATTTTCAAATTGCACTTAGTATCACTTTTTTCATGTAGATACATTACATTTCTTTATACTAGTAACAACACCCTACACTAAAATGGTGCTCTTTTACAGAGAAGCCTGATGGGCAGCCTTAGTCCTAGAGGAGACCCTGACAACTATGCTATGAAGAGTTTAATTTCACCCTTCCTCCAAGCAGTTGCTTCTGGTTATTTTCTTTATTCTCAGGATCCACACTATTGTTAATGAGGCAACAGCAAATGCAGAAATGGCTCTTCTATGGGATGCAGCTGTGAATGGCAAGAAACTGTGTTGAAAGAAAGATGTAACGCACAATGATAAAGCAAAAATTCAACAAAGCTACTGAATTTGGAGATATTTAATCCCTTGAAGTTTTTTTGACAAACACATGAAAGTGTAGATTTACAATGGAACAAGAAAACACAGACAGAAAAAAAAAAAAACCAGAACAAAAGAAAAAGAAACTAAAAATTCCTGGGGAAATCTAACAAAGACAATAATTTATGAGTAACTACAGAAAAGTCCATAACTTGGTATTCTTTACTGATTATAAGGTAAGCATATGCAGGATTCACTAAGTATAAAATTAACATCTTGCTGTTTTACTGCTCCCTTTTAGATATTATTGTTTATGTTTTATGGGTTACGATATAATTTCCAGCTTTGGATACCTTTAAAGAAATATAGACTATTGATGTTATTCTTAAACCATACCATACAAAACAATTGTTATTTAAATTCAAAAAGTGAATATTACATGCTACAATAGACGTGTTCAAAACTAATAATTCTTGTAAGACTTGTTTGTAGGGTGATCTCAAACTGTCCAAACTAGTGATAGGGTTTAAAGTATCAGCAATAGAAGTGGAAAAAAAGACAGGTAAACAAGTCTAATTTATCCAAAACCATTATATTAAAAGAGTAGCAGGCATATGGAAAAAGCTGTTTAGTAAGACAGCTGATTAAGATAGCACAAGTAGGCTTAAGAGACTATAAGAGATATTCTTATGCAGAAGGTGGCTTGGATATAACAGCAAGTGAGTATAAGGCTGAGATAACTAAAGTGGGACGTGCTTATTGTAACACAAGACTTACTGTCATGAAAATTTTTACAGTTTGGGGGGGTTTTCTGCTTTCATTAAGGCCATTCTATAAGCATTTCATTAATTATCAAATTAATTATATCTAATTTACATTGTCTTTCTCATTTGTGAAAATGTTTAAAATCACTACCAGACAAAACTTGCTATCAGGATATATTTTCCTTGAAATCAAATATTTCAATAGTAAACTGACAGGCTCTATCATTCACTGTTTTCATTAATTAAATGAAAATCATAAAGTAAGTTTGACTGCTTTCCATCTCATGCTGAAATCAGAAGAGATCTTGTCTAAAAAAAATTATTTTTGTAAAATTTCCTACTTTGTTACTGAGAGAAGCACAATTGCTGTAGTGCTGCCAACACACTTTTTATCACAGTATGGCCTTTTAATTTGGGCTAGAGTGGCTCAAAACTGTAGTCAAAACACTGGTACAATCAGAATTCTTATTACTGCCATGGGCAGAATTGGATGCCTGACAATAGTGTTTGGAATTACATGAGGAATATGTCAAACTTAACTCATTTTTTAATTAGGATTCTCACATCGAGATCCTAACTTCATAGTTAATCCAGATGATTTTTCAATAATTTCCTAAGATTTAATTATTAGTGTTCTTCTAACAGCAGAAGCTAAAGTATTTTAAATATCTTTAAAAGAAAATAATTAAGCCTAGAACATGGCTACAAAATAGCGAATTCCCATCCCTGTATATAATCCAGAATGATGACAGAAACCCAACTTCTGATATTGCTTCAGGCATTGCTGGAGACAATTGTTTCTAGCAAGCTTTCCATCTCCTTTTCCCAGAAAACAATTTTTCTCTAAAGAAAAATTAAATTATTTTTCTACCCTAATCACATATATCATATTTCTTACCCTCCTTCAACTTGGCTTATGACTAGAGAAAACAATTTTATTTATCTTCTTTCAAAAGAGAAATATTACATTGGGCTAAGAACCCTAATCATACTAAGCTCAATGACAAGTAATCATTGATTTCATTGGCAACACCACATAGCACCACATTTGTTACTGCGATGACCTGAAATCTCATAAGGTGCTTGATGCAGGTTCAGTTTTCATATTACAACAATGATTTTATTATAGCACACTAGAGACAGAAGAGTTCATTCAAGCAAACAAATTTATATCATTACTATTTGTAATTATATTTGGAGGAAAGAACAATATTTTAAAAAATGGAAAAAATAGTTTGTCTCTCTATCCCCATTATTTATTTTCTTCAGCAAAGAAATTCACATAAACAGCCACTGCTGTAGATCAGTGGCTGACAGTACTTAACGTCCACAATTCAATATATATTTCAGATGAATATGAAGAATTCATCTGAGTGATTGGAATAAATTTTCCTTGATGAATAGGGCAGCTCAACTAGGTATAATGACGAATGTAAACCTGCATCTAACTCTTTGCATTATAATGAAATTAAGCAATGGGCATGGTTGGCATAATGTGCTTACTAGATTGTATATATTTTGACCAGAATTGAGTTTGATGCTGCTGGACAAACTGCAGTATTATGAACACTGGCCATACAGCCCTTTTCTTAAAAAACAGTCATTTCTAATCTGAATACTAGATAGTTTCCTAGTGAAACTTTAAAAATTTGAAAGCTCTTTCATTGCTATACTTGATAGATGGAAATCCAGAATTTTTGTCTTCATGTCACACAAAACTGAGAGAATAAGACATATGTTCCAATAGCTTCTTTAAAAAAAAAATCCTGCACTGCATCTTTATACAGATCAATGTCCAATTATAAGCAGGGAGTTGCTGTAGCAAAAGGTCAGGAAAAAATAATCTTTCCAGCATTTATTACTTGGAAAATAAGGTCACATATAAGGTCAACCTCCAAATGTATAAAGAATAAATTATACTTCAGCATTCTAAATATTCTGCACTGCAAAAATTATATTGCAATCTCAACATAATCAGAAAAATGAAGTTGAATATGTATTTCCTTATGACTGTACTACACATCAGACTAAGCTAAGAGGTGAAAAACTGAGGTCCAATTAATCAACAATTAATAAAAAGCTTATCAGATATTTCTGCTTAATTAGAAATATAACTTCTTATTAAGCCTGACTGATTTAATAATTTCCTAACTATCTTTAACACTGAGACACCCTCCCCACAACAGAGTAAAATAATGGAAAACATACAAAACATTTAAAAATCATTCAGCGATGCACTTCTTTATTGCTTACAGCACGGAAGCAAAACATAAAGGCAGAGAATGCTCAAGTGCTTTGTCTGTCTGATTCTCTAAAAAAAGAAGTGCATCCTTGGAAATAAAAAACCTCCTAATTAGATAAAACACATCTGAAAAAAAAAAGAATTGGACACAGTTTGAGGAAATAATTATGCTTGTTTGTCAGAATGAATGTTGGCAGAGAACATTGTCATTGTCCTGATCTAAGTCATTTTGCTGTTTCATAGACAGTCTCAATCTTTGCTACCTTCACAGGATGTGAATGAAAGTACACTGAAAATAAGATTTTATTAGTATTAGTATATAAGACACTTCTTACGGTACTCTTAATTGTGGAATCAACCTTATAAATAGGAAAATGCATCCATGAAATGAAAACCTCTTCTGATTCATTTTTACTCTTGTCTTTTATGCAAAGCATTTTCTTTTCCTCTTCTCCAAACTACATGAGGAATATAAATGACTGGTGTTCTTTTATCTGTTGCAGTTGTGTCTAGTTTGAATTTCTAAATCAGGCTTTGACAGAAGGATTGTATATAATATATCACAGGCAATGCCAGTGGTGATAGAGTATATCCTAATCCTTTTCAAAAGTACTAATTTTTTTTTTTTTAATCTGCCTTGGACACTTGTGGTTTCATTTTATGTTCATTCTGAAAGATACTGTGTTCTTTTTTCTGGGCTAATGACAAGATTTACTGTTTTCTCTGATAATAATATCAGTAGTTTACTCCTTTCTGATAAACCACAACTGCAATACTAATAGGTTGATAATGACGTTTTAGACTTCACGCTTTTGTAGGCATTGCAGACTTCACTCACCTTGTTCAAGTGGCTGGCTTTTAGTTGAAGTAGTTTTCATCTTGAGTGCCTCCCTAACAGACATGTCACAGCAGGAGCCTTTGTTAGTGTCTTGGTCACTGTCAGCCTGATCACTGTCCCCATGCCCGCTGTCCCTCAAGCTGGCTCTTTCTGGATCCTTGAACGTGGAGCTACTGAAAAACATATTGAAAAAAAAGAAAAAAAAAAGAAAAAAAAGAGAGAGAGAGAGTGTTGTATTTACTTGTTCTAAGTTGAATTGTACTCTCTGGCAAAGCAATTTTGACAAGAATGCAAATGGGGAAGCCAAGAAAGTTATTTAATAGGCCTTACCTTTGAACAAACTGCTGCCTGCTGCCCATGTAATTGGGCTCTGCGGGAAAATTGTCTGTCTGTGAAAGAGAAGGAAAAAAATACGTATAGTTGTACACTGGACAAATCTCCTGCAGAGCAACAAGATTTCCTAGAGGAGAAATGATTAATAATTCAAAAATTCCCTTAATCTTCAGATTTGTACATTTTAATTAAATTGGAAAATGCTGGCATGTAATTATGTGCTCAGAACAATTAAATGATTCCGGTCCACAAATTACCTGCTAAAGTAAACAATGAAGCTCCAATAAGTGGCATTCTCTGTTAGTAACCTGACAGATGACTCTGTTTATGTTTTTTCATTAGATAGATATTAAGACTGATGGTTATTGAAAATGAGAGAAAAAAATAACTCTTGCATATTAAAAAAGTGAATTATTCAATAATACTAATTTTTAATCATAATTACATCATCTACTGGGATTCTGAAGCTCTTGCTGCTGTAATACAGTTTTGTATGCTGCTATATTACACTTGAATTGAAAAAAATAAACAAAAAATCAAGAAAATTGATGGCTGATTAGCTGTGGGGTTTCTCAGATGCTACTGGAAAAATGCAAGTATGAAAATATTTGGATTTCCTCTCTTTAATTTTCATCAGTATTAATATCTATTTCAGAATAATGAGAACCACACATGCAAATGAGAATATTGAATGATCACTGCTGACAAGTAGTTTTTAAAAGAAGATACTTTCATTAAGTCTGTCATGTATATTTTTAGCAGCATGAGCCAAGTAACTGTAGAAGCAGAAGTATTAAAAGGATCCAGACCAACATGGAGTCCTGCCAAAGGGAACTGAATTCCCCTTGTATCATTAGCTGAAGTTCTTTGGGAGAAAGAGAGACTGCATCATTCAGAAAACTCCGCATACTGTACATTCACGCACGTCACTTCTTCTTGCAGCTGACCTAGCGACAGAGCTTCTACTGTTTTCTGCATCACTTCACATCACACCACTCTGCTCCGCAGCAGCTCCGGCTTTCGCAGCAGCATCCAGCGGATCAGTATCCGTAACACGGCCAGCACTCAATTAATGGAGCTGAGGGCCTGAGATTTAATGTCACACAGCAAGTGCTTACACAGGTGACGGGGATCTTAGATATTTGGGCTTCCCTGCCACTCCCCACTCCCCATTTTTTTGTCTTTGTTTTGGTTTTATCAGTAGGAGGTAATTAGAAATACTTGCTACTTCTTGTATGGTTGGAGTATTTGAGCTTGGAAAAGAGGCAAAAAGTTTTATCCAGAATTTAAGTCATTGCTGTTTGCAACAGAAATTGGGCAGACACCTGTTACTCCCAAGGGACTTGTGAAATAGATGTGCTTGTATACCATGGATGTATTTGTGTTTTAGAGAAGGGGTGGAAAATATAGAACCATCTTCCGTTCAGCATGTATGTCAATGTACACTGCACTTCCTTCTAGTTTCTAAATCCTTTTGTTCAAAAAATAAGATTATAACACATACTATATTCACATCCATCCTAGCTTTAGTATATGCAATTAGAATAAAAGTTCATCTTCACATTTAGTATGTATCAAGTTAGAAAAAACAAATATTGGAAACAACAAAAAAAGGAGGTATATTTCAGCATTCTTATGTGTATTTCTCAAATGCAGCACATCATATTTTTGAAGCAGCTATAATTCTGCTGTTTCTTTTCTTCTCACAAGTTTCAAGCTAATATCTCTCTTTTGTGCAGCAAAAAGAGAGATATATATACACTCATATACAACCATTATGGCACTTACAGAACCCAGCACTTATCAACCTGAATAAACCTTTACAACTGCAGGACTCATGTCTCTTTTTTATGTCTAATATCTCAAATAGAGATATCCAGGAAAACTGACCTTATGCTTTTACTTACGTAAGACATCTGTCTCCTCCTAAACACAGCTGCTACCAGAATCAACATTTCCATTTTTCATTACATTGGCAGTCAAAATGCCTGCTATAAACTGCTTTTTCATTCATTCTCTACCATTAGAAGTCAGACTTTTGTCCTGAAAATAATTATAACTTCTCCTTTTTGATGGTTCTAAGAACTTAACTGTAAACTGGACCACTGTAAGAACTAGTCGTAATTTTTGTCTCTGCTTTTTCATAGCAAAAGAGCATTTCATGCATCCTGATGAGCCAATACACAGATATTAAAATAGAAGATATGACCACATTTTAGCTGCTGAGAAATTCTGCATTTATGGTAATCATTAAAGACCTTTAATGACCTAGATAATAATTTGACCAATTTTCTTCATATTGTATTTTGCTTCTATGAAGCAATTTTTGCAATACTATGAATTGGGTGCCATGTCACAGCAAGTTCATTATTACAAAAGAACAAATGTAAGTACTTGATGATCATATACAGACACAGAGCTCAGAGTTGAATACTGTTCTTTCTGCACTAAAAGCATTAGTCCTTCTTCTATGAATTATGAAGGTATGATGCTTGTGTTGAGCTGTAACAGCCCTCTGAGATACAGGCAGCAAAGGGAGAACTGTTTCATGTATGAAAATATCTATTAAATTTATGATAAATAAAATAAAATTATTTTAAGGTTTGACAGTTTGGAGGAATCTTAGAAATGTAAACATCTGCTTCACAATGGATGAGAGAGACGAATGTCTAACATGTCTAACTCCCTTAAAATCTTTTTTTTTTTGTTTTAATCCCAGTTGAAGTGAGAGGTCATATACTTAAATTTTTTACACTTTAACATTTATGGAAGTGATATTACACATTCCAACTCATGAATTAATCATACCTCTTTAAATTGCATAGCTGTAACTCAAAGAAACAAATACTACCTAAAAAGTCTAAAAACCCTCTTGTTCTTCTCTGGATATACAGCCCTTTCTAGGACAACAAAATCACCAAAACTCCAGACTTCTAGTTTAAAGGTAGGTTAGAGTTCACCTGCAGAAAAACACCTAAATTCTAGTCAGCTACTCTAGCTAATAAAAATCCCTCAATGTGCCTTTGAGAAATACAAACTATCCCATTTGGTCATCTAGTGTCAGGTACATCATACTCCTGGGGAACATTATTGGCATGGGGGAATCTTGACAACCAGCAAGATATCCAGTGCAATAGTTAAAGCCAAATAAGATGCATCAGGTCAGAAGTGAATTGCCTGGAATTGCAGTCTGTTGCTAAATAACCAAAAATTATTCAAATGCCAGCATCGTTAACTTTCTGAAGAACAAAATAAAACAGATTCCACCCTCGTTCTCACTCTCCCTCCAAAAAAATCTCCAGGAACAATCTGTCTCCAAAAGTCACCAGAGTTAAACAGTAAAGAAATGTGATTTTTTTATCTCTGTGATTCAAGACTGAGGGCTGGAGTATCAACTAGATCACCAGCAGCTACCACAGCACAGGTTCTCCAGTAGCAGGACAAAATGTTATCTAAAATTAAAAAAAAAAAGCAGTAACGTCCACTGCCACCAGAAAACTAAAGTCTGTGATACCAACCTAACTGTCCAAAGCCACTTTAGAGAAGCGGCCCTGGTTTTATGGCTCATTTTCACAGATTAGTGGAACCAGCTAATTTCCAACGAGAGTATGCTGTTAAACCATTCAACAGGTATTCTTTTTTAACAGTTGCTGTAACAGACCTTTAGAAATATTTTCTTCTACCTATCTTTTCTAATATGTGACTCTGGATCAAATATGAAATTTTATGAACACCCGTCATTAGTGTAATGTTGCAGAAAAATGTCTGAGGATTTCTGTACAAGCATTTGATACAGCTTTCTCAGAAGTTGAAGCTCATTAAAAAAAGCCATTTAAAAAGAGGTCAGAATGCATAGGAACCTTTCAAAAGCTGCAAAAATTTAAAAAGAAAGGGTTACATCCTTTCAGAAAATATACAGTTAGATTTTGTTACCTTTTACTTCAGTGAATTGAAGGAAAATAAAAGAAGAGGCAAATTAAACCTGTGAAAAATATACTTTTCATAGAATCATAGAACAGTCTGGGTTGGAAAAGACCTTAAATTTCATCTCTCCATAATGGATAGGGATACCCATTCTCTCCCCATAAAGGGTAGGGATACCTTGCACCAGTTCAGGTTACTCAAAGACCCATCCAACTTGGTGTTGAACACCCCAGGGATGGAGCACCCAGAACTTCCCTAGGTAACTTGAGCTGGTTGGATTTTCTGGTATGGAATTTCAAATGCAACAATATAATTGCTGAAGTTCAATAATGGGACTTGGAAAATCATTAACTGGACAGTGTTTTCATGAACAGCACATAGAATATCTTTCCAAGTGCATCAACTGTCAACAAAACTATTCAGTTTATTGCACCTGTCAGAACTTGTATATTATGACCACACGAGGACCTAGATAAACTAAATTGTTGCCAAGTATAGGTCTCACATGGTATATTTGGAATACTAAATTTTATAGATTCAGAAATAAAACCATTCGAAAGTTTGAAAGTCAACTGTTAAGTTTCTGCTAATTAATTCTGGAATGGCTATAGTTTCCAAAAGTTTAATTTAGAGAAAGGATAATGAAAAATTATAGCCAAGAACAGAGTATGAGAAACAAATTCTTCATAGGATCCATTAACCTTAAATAAACCCATAAGAAAAAAAAAACAGTAAAAACCTCATCACTGGAAACAGCTTGAACCAGCCTAGGCCAAGCATTACACAATGAATTATGAAGAATATTTTTAGCAATGGGCTATATTAATCTCTTATCCTTTTTTTATCTTTTCATAAATTCATATTCACAAGGTATATGTGTTTACCTCTGTTGAAATATTATGCTATTTTTATAGATACAAAGGAGTCCTACTGTGGCTCTGCACTCACTATTTTTTTTTTAAATTCAGGATTAGAATTACAGCACCGTATTAATCAATCAGGTTTCAAAAAATCTGCTATTGCTCATTAAGAGAACAGTACACAACTTCACAAGTCTTCTGCTTTCAAGAATTGCTGCAAAAAGCAGACTGTTTCTTAAAAATTAGATGTTCCTCGCTATTTTTCTCTTTCT